TCAAAAATTCTTCGGTTATTCTACTAGGGTACCTGCCAAGGCAAAGGGAAACATTGCTGAAGGTTTCAAGACCAAAGATATTAGTGAAACTGACGAAAAATAGAATGTTGCATCGGCCAAAACCGACGTTGTAAACCAAAAGCAATTCAGTTAATTTCATGTCGCTAGTTCCTTATAGGAACCACGTGTTAACCTCCCTAATACAGTTGTCGATAATTTGATCACATAGTTGCTGACCTTTCAAGTCATCTTGCTTTTATATTCTGTAGGTGAACAGGCTGGCCGCGTTTCACCCGAAGAAGTTCAGCAAGTGGAAGAAAAGGTAACTTCATTGATACACAGATTAAACACTGTTCATCGTGCCGTTTTTTTTACAGTGAAAGATACTTATTCCACACGCAATTCACCTCTATAATTATTGAGTGTTCTTCGATCTCCTTAGGAATCTACTTCTGACAAGGAAACTCCAGCTGTGGCTGACAACCGCTCACCGCCCGCAGTATCAGTCGTGAATGGTAGCGTGGTTCGACTGCGTGAACACAAGCCCATCAATGGGCTCAGTCCTGTGCCCAGGAATGACAAGGCTTCGTCATCGGGCCTGCTGGCGGATGCTGCCAAAGCCAACAATGATGCCCTCTTGGGTTCAAAGCCTAGTTCCGCTGCTCTCAAGCGCTCTAGCATGTTTGTTCGTCCTACCGCCGTAGATGGCACACCATTCGATAAACGAAGGTCTCTCCTACTGGAACCGGTGTTCGTGGAGCCGGACGCCAGTAAAGAGGTAACATCCAAAATACTGCAAAGTATAACCAACGGACCTCGTTCTTGATTGTCTTCCTCCTCCTCAAAAGATTTTTATTATTGTTCTTCCAGGTCTGTGACATCGAGGTCAAAATTGCTGATCTTGGCAATGCCTGCTGGACTTACCGGAAGTTCACAGAGGACATCCAAACCAGGCAGTATAGGGCATTGGAAGTTCTTATCGGCGCTGGCTACAGTACTCCTGCGGACATTTGGAGTACCGCATGCACGGTAACTTTTGTTT